ACAAAAAATTATTTATTTTATTATTTTTTTTTTAATAAAAAACGAAAAGAAAAACAAATTAAAATAAAATTGTTCATTATATACATGGTCCACTTTTGTAGTATATTGTACTATCCTTACTTTGTAAAAAAAACTAAAAAAAAAAAGGAACATGGGAGATCGTTCGATCTCCGACGAGCTCTCCATTGAGGACTCACCTCCCCCAGATACTTGACAGCTAAAGCGGAGATGCAGGACGCGCCGGCTTCTGTAGGGAGGAGAAAATATGGTCGCCCGCTAAGGGACAGCTGGAGGAGCCATCACCAGCCATTATTGGCCAGCCTATTGGGACTCGGAGCTGGACTGCAGATGGCGCGGGAAAGATAGCGAAGCATCCGTGGGACGATAAGGAAGCCTTAAACTTCTAATTTACATAAATAAAAACATTCGTTGAACATTTCATTTATTTTTATTTTAATATCTTTGTGCACCAGCAGACTCTTCTTTTTTAAATTGCTCCAATTGATTTGTTTTCCGTTTGGCAACAACCCCAGCTGCTTGATAGTAAGATCATGCCACATGCAAAGAAATAGATTTTTCGACTAGTGAAACTCTTAGTACTAGGCTTAAGTACTTTCGGCATTATTTCTAATTTGTGCAAAATTTCAGGGGGACCAAAACTTATAACCGAAAAACTACCAAAATACGAGCAACAAATATGACTTCTGTACGATTAATCGATAAAATTAAAAAAACTGACAATACAATCATAAAACAAAACTTGTTTCGCTCTAATTTTTTTTAAGCGGAAATAAGCGAAATGAAATTTAAAATAACTAAGATTTCAAGCCATAAGCATTTCAACTATTTTGTAAGCTATTTGATTTTAAAATAAGCTAAATCTAGCTTAAAATAAGCTAATATGGCAACACTGGCCTGGAAGAAACATCGATGCCAACAGCGATGTTTTCAAAACATCGGCAACATCGATGTTTACCGGGTCAATCGATGTTTTTCTAATTCTAAGGCACATAGAGGAAGATTGACGGATTGTAAGTACATATGTCATTTAATTTAATCAATTCATTTATTGTATAAATAATATTTTAGATGACTACAGATGGCGACGCGTTTAAAATGTAAGCTAAAAAATACTTCTGCGTTCTTCGTGTGAGATCATCGACCGTTGTTGATAAGCTCCTCTTTTTAAACAAACGTAAAAAATATGTAAATATATATACTAGAGTTAGGGATAGTAAAGTAAGGATAGTACAGTAGGGATAGTACAATATCCTAAAGAAGTATTATTTTCTTTGGACCATGTTACTGACCATGTTACACTGATATTAAATTTGTTTTTTTTTAGTTTTTATTTACAAAGTAAGGATAGTACAATATACTACAAAAGTGGACCATGTATATAATGAACAATTTTATTTTAATTTGTTTTTCTTTTCGTTTTTATTTAAAAAACGAATAATAAAATAAATAATTTTTTATTAAAATTAGATTTTTATTTTTAAGCCTTACAAATTAAAATAAAGTTTAAATACACAAAAAAAACTGCTTATTTTTTTGTTCAAAACATCGATGAAACATCGATATTTTTCGCCAAAAACATCGATGTCCGTGAACATCGATGTTTCTCCACCTCTAAGCACTATCTTCTCTTCCCAGCTCAGACTCATGAGGTCTTCGGCATACAGCAGATCGTATTCCTCCAGCGGTATCCACGCTCAAGCTTGTATTTAACTACCATTTGCATGGCAGCTAAATCAAACGGGGGAACGCCAGCAAGAACCTGCAGTGCCACAGTGGACACTGTTCGGCATACCGAACACGTCTGCCGCGTCTTACCATACCGAGGCACCAAATAGCGCACAGGGCACCATGAGTCCGGCATAAATGGTCCGCCTAGCTCGAGGACTGAAACCCAAGTCTGCTCGAAGCGCACGCGCCAATGCTGCAACGACTCTAGCCATACGCTGTCAAAGGTTCCCGACGTGCTCGAGAAATCTTAAGCCTTCGCCGACTGTGATGCCAAGGTACCGGCAGCTGCTTACGTACGGTAAGTTTGCTCCAGCAAATTTTACCGCAGGGGGCGACACGTAAAGTGTTCGCTTTCTTTAAGCAGCATAATTACCGTCTTACTGGTGGATACGTCAACACCGTCTTCCATCCCCCACGTTTCAACGTTGGACATTAGTTGCGCTCCATTTGTCTCCAGCGCGAGTCGGGAGTTTCCCTCGACAAGATTCAGCAGATCATCCGCATACGCACTCAGTGTGCAGTATGACTCAAGGCGCCGGATCAGTACATCCATCAGCAGATCCCAAATAAATGGACCGCTGATTGACCCCTGCGGTCAGCCTCTAGTTACGGGGACATTAACTTCCTCGTAACTGCTTCGGATAACTGACCTTCTGCCTGAGAAGAAGCTCTGCCATAAGCCCATCTCTCGGTATCCTAACTCGGCCAATCGGCGCAGTGCAGCACTCCATTCCACATTGTCGAAGGCTCCCTTAAAGTCCACGAAAATGCCGAGCACGTATTTCGCAGGGCTGGCGTGAATACTGCTCTTCACGTGCATCCAAGCATCCTCCACACAACGTCATTGGCGAAAACCCGAACTGCCACCTGCAGTCTTCCGAAAGAACTTCTCTCACACGATCTACAATGATGGTCTCAAGCACTTTTTCGAAAACCGGAAGCAGGCAAATCCCGCGGTACGACGATGGCTCACACCTGTCCTTGTCGGGTCCCTTGAGCAGAGCCACCACACGTGGGCATTTCCACTCTGTAGGGAAGTACCCCGACCGGATGCAGCTTGAATACAGCGCCGTCAGATGCTGAGGTGTATTGGGATCAGGTGTTGTTTTCCTACGAAAGCAAATTTAATATTTTTCGATCCGATGGCCGTCAGAACGTGTGGAGAAAGCCAAAAACTGCATTGGATAAAATAAATTTGGCACCAACAGTGAAACACGGCGGCGGAAAAGTCATGGTGTGGGGATGCATGTCATCTGCGGATGTTGGGCAGTTGGTACTTATAGAAGGAATCATGGACAAGACTTATTACCTCAATATTTTGAGGGACAACATTAAAAAAAGTGCCTCAAACCTAAGCATGCCGAACTCATTCACTTTATAAAAAATAAAAAACTAATAGTGCCATTCTATTAATAATCTATTATTTAACCAAATACAAGAAATATGGAATCACAAAAATGACACACAAGCCTGAAAATAACATTTAAAGTCAAAAAATGCAAGTGTGCCAGCACTTAAGTGCGGGACTGTAGGTGTAAAATATTTTTTTTTGCGAAAGGTTTAACTACGTTGCCCAAGCTGTTGACCATTGTTATGGGACTTGATCGACAGGAAGAATTACCACAACGGGCCAAGTCCGCAGAATAGTTGAAGCGCTGGAGGAGATCCATTAAAGAATCCCAGTGGGAAGGAACATGTGACATCGTTCGATCTCCGACGAGCTCTCCATTGAGGACTCACCTCCCCCAGATACTTGACAGCTAAAGCGGAGATGCAGGACGCGCCGACTTCTGTAGGGAGGAGAAAATATGGTCGCCCGCTAAGGGACAGCTGGAGGAGCCATCACCAGCCATTATTGGCCAGCCTATTGGGACTCGGAGCTGGACTGCAGATGGCGCGGGAAAGATAGCGAAGCATCCGTGGGACGATAAGGAAGCCTTAAACTTCTAATTTACATAAATAAAAACATTCGTTGAACATTTCATTTATTTTTATTTTAATATCTTTGTGCACCAGCAGACTCTTCCTTTTTATTTAATTTGTTTTCCGTTTGGCAACAACCCCAGCTGCTTGATAGTAAGATCATGCCGCATGCATTGCGGGTGAACTTTGAAAACTTCGGTCACACTACAAAGAATAAGATTTTTCGACTAGTGAAACTCTTAGCCGATCTGAGTACTAGGTTTAAGTACTTTCGGCATTATTTCTAATTTGTGCAAAATTTCAGGGTGACCAAAACTTATAACCGAAAAACTACCAAAATACGAGCAACAAATATGACTTCTGTACGATTAATCGATAAAATTAAAAAAACTGACAATACAATCATAAAACAAAACTTGTTTCGCTCTAATTTTTTTTAAGCGGAAATAAGCGAAATTAAATTTAAAATAACTAAGATTTCAAGCCATAAGCATTTCAACTATTTTGTAAGCTATTTGATTTTAAAATAAGCTAAATCTAGCTTAAAATAAGCTAATATGGCAACACTGGCCTGGATAGAGGTGGAGAAACATCGATGCCAACAGCGATGACATCGATGTTTTCAAAACATCGGCAACATCGATGTTTACCGGGTCAATCGATGTTTTTCTAATTCTAAGGCACATAGAGGAAGATTGACGGATTGTAAGTACATATGTCATTTAGTTTAATCAATTCATTTATTGTATAAATAAAATTTTAGATGACTACAGATGGCGACGCGTTTAAAATGTAAGCTAAAAAATACTTCTGCGTTCTTCGTGTGAGATCATCGACCGTTGTTGATAAGTTCCTCTTTTTAAACAAACGTAAAAAATATGTAAATCTATATACTAGAGTTAGGGATAGTAAAGTAAGGATAGTACAGTAGGGATAGTACAATATCCTAAAGAAGTATTATTTTCTTTGGACCATGTTCATAATGAACACTGATATTAAATTTGTTTTTTTTTAGTTTTTATTTACAAAGTAAGGATAGTACAATATACTACAAAAGTGGACCATGTATATAATGAACAATTTTATTTTAATTTGTTTTTCTTTTCGTTTTTATTTAAAAAACTAATAATAAAATAAATAATTTTTTGTTAAAATTAGATTTTTATTTTTAAGCCTTACAAATTAAAATAAAGTTTAAGTACACAAAAAAAAAATGCTTAGTTTTTTGTTCAAAACATCGATGAAACATCGATATTTTTCGCCAAAAACATCGATGTCTGTGAACATCGATGTTTCTCCACCTCTAAGCACTATCTTCTCTTCCCAGCTCAGACTCATGAGGTCTTCGGCATACAGCAGATCGTATTCCTCCAGCGGTATCCACGCTTAAGCTTGTATTTAACTACCATTTGCATGGCAGCTAAATCAAACGGGGGAACGCCAGCAAGAACCTGCAGTGCCACAGTGGACACTGTTCGGCATACCGAACACGTCTGCCGCGTCATATCATACCGAGGCACCAAATAGCGCACAGGGCACCATGAGTCCGGCATAAATGGTCCGCCTAGCTCGAGGACTGAAACCCAAGTCTGCTCGAAGCGCACGCGCCAATGCTGCAACGACTCTAGCCATACGCTGTCAAAGGTTCCCGACGTGCTCGAGAAATCTTAAGCCTTCGCCGACTGTGATGCCAAGGTACCGGCAGCTGCTTACGTACGGTAAGTTTGCTCCAGCAAATTTTACCGCAGGGGGCGACACGTAAAGTGTTCACTTCCTTTAAGCAGCATAATTACCGTCTTACTGGTGGATACGTCAACACCGTCTTCCATCCCCCACGTTTCAACGATGGACATTAGTTGCGCTCCATTTGTCTCCAGCGCCTCCATTTGTGCCTCGACAAGAATCAACAGATCATCCGCATACGCACTCAGTGTGCAGTATGACTCAAGGCGCCGGATCAGTACATCCATCAGCAGATCCCAAATAATTGGACCGCTGATTGACCCCTGCGGTCAGCCTCTAGTTACGGGGACATTAACTTCCTCGTAACTGCTTCGGATAACTGACCTTCTGCCTGAGAAGAAGCTCTGCCATAAGCCCATCTCTCGGTATCCTAACTCGGCCAATCGGCGCAGTGCAGCACTCCATTCCACATTGTCGAAGGCTCCCTTAAAGTCCACGAAAATGCCGAGCACGTATTTCGCAGGGCTGGCGTGAATACTGCTCTTCACGTGCATCCAAGCATCCTCCACACAACGTCATTGGCGAAAAACCGAACTGCCACCTGCAGTCTTCCGAAAGCACTTCTCTCACACGATCTACAATGATGGTCTCAAGCACTTTTCCGAAAACCGAAAGCAGGCAAATCCCGCGGTACGACGATGGCTCACACCTGTCCTTGTCGGGTCCCTTGAGCAGAGCCACCACACGTGGGCATTTCCACTCTGCAGGGAAGTACCCCGACCGGATGCAGCTTGAATAAAGCGCCGTCAGATGCTGAGGTATATTGGGATCAGGTGTTGTTTTCCTACGAAAGCAAATTTAATATTTTTCGATCCGATGGCCGTCAGAACGTGTGGAGAAAGCCAAAAACTGCATTGGATAAAATAAATTTGGCACCAACAGTGAAACACGGCGGCGGAAAAGTCATGGTGTGGGGATGCATGTCATCTGCGGATGTTGGGCAGTTGGTACTTATAGAAGGAATCATGGACAAGACTTATTACCTCAATATTTTGAGGGACAACATTAAAAAAAGTGCCTCAAACCTAAGCATGCCGAACTCATTCACTTTATAAAAAATAAAAAACTAATAGTGCCATTCAATTAATAATCTATTATTTAACCAAATACAAGAAATATGGAATCACAAAAATGACACACAAGCCTGAAAATAACATTTAAAGTTGTTACGAACTGCTTTTTTTGTCGGTGGCAGTGCCGCTAGCTCAGTCGTCTTCAGGGCAGAGTACCCCTAATGCCACAGCTCGCAACATAAGTATCGATAACTTCGCGGTCTCACTTTACTAATCTATCGGTCATCACTAAGGGCAAGAACGTAAACAAAGCAAAAATTACAATTATTGTCGGGAAAATGGATTACATTTGGTGGCTATCGATGTCCTAGCCAAGCGCTCCCACCCAACCATGGATGCCCTCAAGATGCTGCAGGGCACCACCCATTCGCAGTCGGCAGGAGCCCCTTCCTCGCGACTGCGGCTACGGTTCCATCTCCCCCACTGGGAAAGCTTATTCACACATAGTGGTTTTACAAAGGTTTAATAAATATGGTAAGTACAATCATTTATACACATGCTTCTCTTGACAGATTTATCCTTCCTCAGCCTCTAAGACCGAAACCTGGCCGCCGTCTCGGACATTTACGCGGTCAAAGCAGAGGATTTGTTTTGCTGGGAAAGGGTACAGGCGCCGCGGGAACTATGCTCTACCAGCCATGTATTGGTTGAGCTCGCATGGAAACGCGGGCCTCAAGGGAACATGCGCGATGCGCGGGTGTATGGTCACGTAATCCTGAGGAGCTCCAAGGGAAAAGAAGGGACAGGCCAAAAAGGTACGTAAATGCACTGTAAGCTATACCATTTAACTAATGCTCGCGACCTTTTAAATTTTAGGCAAACAACGAGGACAAATAAGGCTCTCGGGTCTAACTCCGGATAAACTCACAAACAGGGAAGTAGATATCTATATATATATAATCAAGGTACACGTGTATTTAATTTTGCTAAGTTTCAGCCACTATTGGGCCGGGCCTGGAGGCAATGATAGCCCGGGCGGAAGGCTTCTCGCCGGAGGCCAACAGTGATCCGGATCTCCACACAGGAAAAAGGCGCTCTCCGGTGAGTTATGCAATGACAGTCCGAGATTCGGCTGCCAGACAAATGGCGATTCTTCTCAGCGCCGCAATGCGACCGCTGCAAGTTCCCGAGAGGAGGATGACGCGGTACTCCGGAACGGACTCACCGGGAAACGTGGACGTCGTCGTCGACTGGGAAAGGCCCTTCTTGCTGGTCGCTGATACGGGTCGAACGGACACCGTTTGCTGGGCCGCCAATTCGGGCTGGCAGGTATGTCGAAGTCGCGCAGATGTCAGCAGATCTCCAATAAATATTCCGGGGCCCTTTGTATTGGGACCCCGGCTGCCTTTATAAATTATAAATATTAAACACTGACTACTATCTAACATTAACCTCACTCACTTGTCAATTTTAAGCACAAAGACAACTTATTTTCTCACTCCTAGCTGAATCTGCCTTGATTGTAGGACAGTATGGCCGCGACTATCACGATATCTGCTGATCATCGCCCCCGCCATATTACATGGCCTCTCTCAGCATTGGGTCATTGGATACATGGGCCATTTGAAGTAATCCCAGAGCGAACCGGGATTAATCTTCAAATGGCCAGATCGCCCGCCAGACTCATCCCGCTGCTGCAGCTATCGCCCTATCGACCTAACCTATCGATAACGTCGCTCCCACTCGACTCCAATTGCAACATCAACCAAAGATTTCGAAGGGCGCTGCCCGGAGTTTCAGCAGAACGATGAAATAATTGGTAGCTTTGGAGATACGATGGGATTCAACACGGCACTGATACCATCCTGCAGTTCGATCGGCGCCTAACGCGGGGCCCACGCATTACGGGAAGTATTGCAGATGTGATCGCGATGCTCGTATACTTTGTTTGTCCTTTTTTTCAGGTCACAACCGGATGTCTTTGGCATGATATACTCCCAGACTGCGGCCTTGGAGGTCCTCCAGCAAGTATGCATTGCTGCCGACGGATTTGACCACCCTGGCTTTAAGGAACTTTCGAGCAAACTTGGCGTTGAAAGATTTGCTGAAATCACTAAGCACGAAGTTGCGGCGGAAGACTTCTTGTCCTGGCTTGGCGAGCAGCGTACGGGCTCGCTTATCGTAGCGCTGCCGGCTCGTCTGGTATGCACCCTCCAGTTGCTTCTGCACCTTGGCGTGGATTACCCGAAGCTTGTCCTTGGTCTGCATTCCGGCCATTTCATGATCGACCAGAGACCTGAGTCGTCTGGCTAGTTTGTAGCTGGAACCGTTGAGGAACATGTGATGGCCGAAAACGGTGAAGAACGGCGCTTCCCCTGTGGCTGAGTGGACAGAGTTTCGGATGGCCACCTCAATCTCCGGCAGATGTGCATCCCATTCCCGGTGATCTTCGTCCAAGAAGCTGCGAATCGCGGCCAAGACGTTCCGGTTTACCCTCTCCGCGGCATTGCTCTGTGGTGAGTATACGGGAGTCCTCATGTGCTGTATTCCGAAGCCATCGATCATCTCCTCAAACGCCTTGGATACGAACTGTTTGCCGTTGTCCGAATGTATCGTCTCAGGCACCCCGAACTTGTAAAATACCTCGTTTACCAGGAAATTTACAACGTTCGACGCCGTCGCCTCCTTCATCGCCTTTAAGAAGGTGTACTTCGAGAAGTGGTCCACCACGATAAATATCCAGGCGTGTCCACTCTTGGACCTCGGATACTTGCCCAGGAAATCGATGTACAGTTTCTGGAATGGCCTATCCGTCTCTACCCTTCTTCCGATTCCGACCTGCATCCGGAAGTTTGGCGCCTTGGATTCCTTGCACACCTCGCAACTCCGGACGTATTACCGTACCTGGATGGTCATCCCTGGCCAATAGAACTGGCGTCGCAGGATCTCCAAGGTCTTCGTCATCCCACCATGGCCAGCCTTGGGGTCCGAATGAGCACGCTCTACCAAGCTGTGCGTCAGGCTTTGCGGAATCCACAGCTTCCATTCGGATCCTTCCAATTCCTCGTCCATTTTGGGATTACTCATGCGCTTGAAGAAGAGTCCGTCGTCCACCTTGAGGTCCGGTAAGTGCTCCCTGTTGGACTCCACGTCTTGCACTACTTCCTTGTAGTCCTTCGCAGCAAATTCGGTCGTCTCGAATCCCAGTAACTCCGTTGGATCTATCCGGACTTCCTCGATGATGCGGGATAGAGTGTCGGCGACTACGTTCTCGCTGCCTTTGCGATGTTCAATGCTGAAATCGTAGCCCTGCAGCTGGAGAGACCATCTTGCGAGTCGTCCGGACAGATCCTTCATCGTCATCAACCACTTTAGGCTGGCGTGATCAGTAATGCAAGTGAACGGCATCCCTTCCACATATGGTCTGAACTTCCGAATGGCTAGGATGGCCGCCAGACACTCCTTTTCCGTGACCGAGTAATTCACCTGGTGCTTGTTCATCTTGGCCGAGAAGAACGCGATGGGCTGCTCGTCTCCGTCCTGGTTCCGCTGAAACAATACCGCGCCGACGCCAACGTGGGATGCGTCGCACTGGATGTAAAAATGCTTCTTGAAATCCGCATGAACCAGGACCGGCGCGCTCGTCAAGGCCAACTTCAGGTCATCCACTGCCTGGGTGGCGCTGGGACTTAAGGAAAACTTTGTGCTTCCAGCCTTCTTCAAGGACTCGGAGAGTGGTGCGGCTAGCGTTGCGAAGTTCTTTACGAACCGTCGATACCATCCCGCTGTGCCGAGGAAGGCACGTACTTCCTTCATGGATTTCGGGTAAGGCATCTTCTGGATTGCCGTAACACGTCCAGGATCCATTCGCAGCAGTCCACCTCCGACTATAAACCCTAGGTAAGTCAAAGATTTGAAGCAAAACTTCGACTTCTTTAACCCTATGGTCAATCCGGCTGCTTTCAGACTGTGGGCTACTCGGTTCAAGTATTTCAAGTGCGTCTGAAAATCTGGAGCGAGGATTAGCAGGTCGTCCAAGTAGACGAAGACGTTGGATCTGAGCTCCGCTGGTATCACCCGATCCATGAGCCGCACCAACCGTTGTGCCGCGTTGCACAGCCCGAACGGCATCATTCGGAACTGGTACAACGGCCTGCCTGGAACCGTGAACGCAGTGTACTCCTTGCTTTTCTCATCCAGTTCGATCTGCCAAAACGCAAACTTCAAGTCAACGCTGGAGATGTAATGCGTCTGATCTATTCTGGAGAGGATTCCCTCAATGCTGGGCAGAGGGTATGCATCCTTAATCGTCAAGGCGTTCAACTTCCGGGCATCCAGGCAGAATCGGTCTTTCCCTGGCTTCGACACCACTGTTGTGCGATTGCTCCACGGGCTTTTGCTCTCCTCAATGACACCCAGCTCCAACATCTTGTCGATTTCATCTTCGACCACCTTCTGCTTCGCCGGAGACATCGGATACGGACGATCCTTAAAGATTCGAGCTCCTTCCATCAGTTCAATGGAATGCCTCTCCATGCTGGTGACTCCGAGGCCGTCCCTTTCAAAGGTAAGGAACTCCTCCTTGACCTTGCCTAACGCCAGCTTTTCCTCCGCAGAAAGGCTCCAGGATTCGGGTTCCTCCCTTACCTCGTCCTCATCTTCCTGGTCGGCATAGTGCTCCATCTGGCTGGCATGGATTTCCTCCGCTGCCTTGACGCCTCTCGTCGGCGGCTTCCCCACGACGGCTGGAGCTAGTCCGAAGGCTCGCCAGAAGTCGACTCCGAAGTACGCCGTTTGTTCCAGGTATGGGCACAGGTAGAACGTGACCGGCTTACTTACGCCTTTGTACCTCACAGGCAGCTCCAAGCGTCCGATGATGGATCGATCTTCGCCAGAAGCCGTACGGACTACCGAAAAATACGGTTGGACGGTAACTCCCAGCGCTTCCACGAGCTCTCGACAGCCTTTGCCCAGCACACTTACGCTGGCGCCTGTATCCAACAAGCCGGTGAGCTGCTTGCCCAAGGTCTCCACGTCGGCGAAGGGTCGAGGATCAGCGGAATCAATGCGCTTAACGGCCGCCACCACCTCTCGTCGTCTGGATCTCCTCATCCTGAAGCGCTCCCTTGCCTTCTGGACTCTCCGTGACACTAGACGCATGCCGCTCAGCTGATGCTCCACAAAGATCCGGTTCCGTGCCTCCATATAACGGCGAAGCCTCTCATCCTCCGGCAGGTATCTTAACAAGTACTTATGACTATCAGATGGACTATGTATATTCTTGTTTTCGTCTTCTTTCTTCGGAACTACTTCGCGGGATTCCAACCTGGGCGAGTCCCTCCCGCTTTCGGACTGCCCAGCCGACCGTTTTCCGCGCAATCGGGACATTTTGGAGAAATCACGCCCAGCTTGCCGCACCGGAAACAAAATCTCCTCCACTCCGTGGCTTCGCAATCTTGGAATCCGTGCTCCGCAGCCCCGCAATTCCAGCAACCTGGCCTAAATGGATTTCGGACTCCCCCAAGTAGCTTGTCCACCTCCAGGTGTCGCTGCTCGTCGACTTCGTCCTGTACGCGCGCCTCGCTGACCCGTACTTTGTTCTGCTGCAGGTAAGCAGCACGCCCTCGACGACCGAAGCTCCTTTCTACTTCGACGCACTCCTCCCGAAGTTCGTCCACCGTGAGTACGTCCATCGCGTAAACGTATCTAGCGATGCCATCCCTCAAGCCCTTTTTCACAACTTTCACCAACTGACGCTCTGGCATTGGTTTTTTTAGACGTGAGGCGAGTTGCTGCATCGAGTGGATGTAGTCATCCGCACTCTCTCCCGGCTGTTGCTCACGTTGTAGGAGCTCGTGCATTCTTTCGTGTTCCGTCTGGTGGCCACGGAACCGATCCATCAGAGCCCTGCGCAGCTGGGCCCAAGTGTCCACTCTGGACTGGCGTACGTGTACCCAGTACCACTCCTTCGCTCTGCCCGATAGGAGTACGTGGAAGTTGCGCAGAACTTCACTCCACGGACACTGATGCTGCCGCTGCAGGAATTCTAGACGGAACACGAAGTCGTCCACGGAATGGCCATCGTCCTCGCCGCTGAAAGAGAGGTTCCAGCGGTCCACTCTGATGTAGTGGTTCCCGTTGCCGGCTCCAGCGTTTGCGTACCACCGCGGCTCGTCCCGAAAATCCACCGTCCTTCGGTCCTCGCGCCACGGCCGTGCATGGCGATCACTCCTGCCTGTCGGATGGTACTCGGGTTCCTGGCTCAGGCTGCTGTCGATCCCTGGAGAGTCACTTACAGGCAGTCGAGGTCGCTGCCTGGGTGGTAATTCCGGTGGCCTTCGGTAGCCTCGTCCTGACTCCTGCCGCTGCTGAACTTCCGCTGGTCCATTTGCGCCGCCTTCCGGACACGACGGAGTGGGCACCATTGACACTTGGCGACTCGCGCCCTCCTGGAGCGGCTGCGGGTTGCTATCGGCTGGCCTAAGGACATCGTTCAGCAACTTCATCATGTCCATGAATCCGTTCTTGATTTCGTCCCGCAACGCCTGGCTCACTCCCGACTCCTGCGA